CTCTCCGCTGCCAACCTCTATCTCTCCATTTCAGCTTCTTTTTCCACTTTGGCTCTTTCGACCGCCAACCTTTCTCTTTCCAGCTCAGCTGCCTTTTCTTCTTTGGCCCTAAGTTTTTCTTCTTTCTCCTTCTGGGTGACCAACTTCCGTAGTTCGGCGCCAGAAAGACCTATCTTCTCACCAAGAGCGACTAACTTTTCGAGATCCATGGTGTCTCGCAAATAAAACCTTGCCGCGTGCAAAAAGTATCTGCCTAAATCCATCTATCAGAACACGCTCCTGCTGTCGTTACCGAGAACACTAAGCAACACACAAAATCGTTCCGATGGCACTATCAACAACTCGAGGCTCTTTCTCAATACTTTGGACACACTGTGCACCAAAAGATCCTGTCGCGGACGCCAGATTAATTGTCACTGGTCCCGTTAATTCGGGAGGCGATCGCCGGGCTAATTCCAAGGGCCGAAGTATCGGCTCCCCGAACCGCACCACGTAAGCGTGGACAATTTAGAAGTGGTCCTATTTGGCGCGCCAGCGTACGCCGATTGTGGCCCAAAGAACAAGTCAGAGCCGAGAGTTGATAAACAAAACAAAATTATATTCTCAGTTATGGCAGATCAAAACAATACACAAATATGCACACTCTACAATAGTTGAATACAATATGTCACCAATCAAACAATGTACTACACAGTACAATCAGCCACACTCGAAACAACGGACAGAGACAACAATATGCACTACAATGCAGTCGCATGCATCGAACCACCAAGACACTTAAAGACTAAAGAGTTAGAAAACTTCTTCATTGCAAAATTCTTGGAACAAAAGTCGGGATGACACTCTTCCGAGAATCACTAACTCACAGTGTAGCGTTGTTGTCGTTCCGCTGCCCCCGAAGCTTTTCTTCCAGGAAACCTCGCGTCTTTAATGGGCCACTCTCCGAGCTTCAAACTTCTTCACCGGAAACACATAGGCTTCACACACGCAGCTGTTGCCACGCGCCTTCGCTCTATAGCGGTAGACACACACTCTTGCCTGTAGCTCGAGCCTTTACCCCTCAGGTGGAAATCCTCTTCTTCTCCTCCTTTGTCACGGAAGACAAAAGGCTTCGCCCACAAGGCGTAACACCCTACGCATTCTGACGCATACTTTCTTCTACTCCTTCTTTGTCACTAAGGACAAAACCTTCACCGACAGACGCGGCGGAATACCCTATGCTCACCGGCGTTAACTTCCTTCTTCTGCTGATCTCCCATCTCCGCTTCCTGGTTAAATACCTTCCGCGCGCGATTCCAGAAAGTTTACATCATTTCGTCGGCACGATACGCAGCGAAGGCTGGGGGAAAGGGCGAGACGATACGGGGGCCGTCCGCGACAGATGACTCAACCCGGCATCACCACGCCCCTTTCCATCGAGAAATTTACAGGGCTTGCTCGGCCACCGACGCGAGGAGGTTTCGTCGGCGAACCTACGCTTCCGAGTGAGAGAGACGCGCGCCCGGGGAGTCTTTGGATGTTTTTTTTTTCTATCGTTGACCTCGCGGCGTCACTCCGGCGTTTCGTCGCGAGAATTTGGCGGCGCCCCCTTTTTTGAGCGCTCGTTTTGTGACACTTGGAAAGCGCCCGTGCTAACGCGCTGTGTATTCCTCGGGGTTGCTCCAATCAAGTGATCTCTTCCGCATTGTGTTTCCGTTTTGTTCTTTTTAATACATTTTTTCTGATAGCCGAATTGCGAGAGCCGCGAAGCGCCACAGAATAGGTCACTGGCGCCCGACTGAAACGCGAAAATCACTAACAGGCATTGCAAAAATAGCGAGAGCCCAAAGTACAACAAGCTGGACGTAACTTAGGCAACTACTGCCGACACAAGACCTGCAAACGGTAAAATATACGCTGCGGGCAGAATACGCCGTGCCAATATTTATAAGTGCATTATTAGAACCAGATACAACCCTGCTGTCACACTCCTGCTAATCAAAGTGGCTTGTTTATCTACACGGAACACGCCAACTGAACTTCGGTCGTGTCGCGTGATGACGCAACTGCAACGAAGAGGATGGAATTCGCAGTTTTATTGGTCACTCACCCGGGACGTAGAGGAATTTTCGTCAACTATTACGCAATGCGCACTGTAACACGACACGTGCCAGCAGCTATCAAGCCCACACCGCTAAACACTTGGTAACCCATCTCACGGTCCTGCGGCGGCTGCACTTCCGATGGAGGCGGAAGTGTTGTAGGCCCGTGTGCTCAGATTTGGTGCACGTTGAATAACCCCAGGTAGTCGAAATTTCCGGAGCCCTCCACTAAGGCGTCTCTTATAATCAAATGGTGGTTTTGGGATGTTAAACCTCACATATCAATAAACCAACCTCACGGTCAGGGGCACGCGACACCGTTGCACAAAATTCGCACGCACACCAAATCCACCCCCCCCCCCAAAAAAAAACGGCGGCTTTCGAGTAAGCCTCTAAGCGACTTCAAAGCAGCGTAAACATTCGAGGCATGAGCATTTTGTTGGCAGTCGAAGAGGCCGAAGGAGGGGAAAATTCACGAGAGCCGTAAGAAAGGACTTACCTGGTAGCGAAATCCATGAAACTTGTTCGCTGCTCAACTTGGCGGGAAAGCTCCGACACAATGGTGAATCTAAGCAGTGAAGTTAACGACACCTTGTGCAAGCTTCTGGTGGCATATTGTCCGAGCTCACGCAACCACAGGTTAGCTGATCAGAATGGGACAACGAATACACGTCTTGGTGTCGCAAATCACCGTTAAACATGGTCGTTTCTAACGAGTCCTCGACTGCGGCGTTGCGTCGTGACAAGCGTCCATGCTGTCTGGCGAGCGCCAAGAATGCGCGACCTTGCATGAGCCGCGTCATGGAGGCGCCGCTGGCACCGCGTACATACATCATGTGACCACGTTGGAGAGATGTTATCGCGAGCCTGCGCACGGCCTGTGTTCTGATGTCGAGAAGAGGCCCACGCTCGGAGGAGTTTCTTGTTGAAACAATATTAAAACCATGCTTTGCGGTTGCGATATATACTCGCTGTATTCGCTACACCTCCTCTGCAGTACAACATCCTGTGTACTTGAGAATAAGACAGTTCGTAGAAATAGTGAGCCTGTCGTAGTTAACTTTCACGTGCAGAAACATTATAAGTACACTATGAATTTATACGTACGCGCTGTTTGACTGACGAGATAAACTCACGCATTCAGTTGTACAAAGCACGTATACGCAAATTTTTGGCTTGCAATCCCGACCACTTTTTTATTGTGAAGCGATTGAAACAGAAAAAAACATCCTTACCGAGAATAAAAAAATGATTGTGCACAAGCTCTGGTAATTTCAACGCACTTGGCTTTTCATTGTTGTACGCGCAATCTGACAACCCTGAAATGCTTGATTATAGGACATATGAATTTTCACATAAGAGGAATCACAATAATTCAAAAACTCCCGCAAGCTCATAACAACGTGTGGAACTAACCGTTACATCGATACTGGTTTCAACAACATATCAGTGATGATAATGAGATGAAATCACTAATGTTTATATGCACTGTTTGGCAAAACAACCCGCTTGCGACAATGCCCCTGTGCCGCATTATCATTTATATCAAACAGGTGTGACTGCTGTGTGTTCGTGCAAAAAAAAAGGGGGATGGGAGTAATGCGCGTGGCATGTAATTCTTGAAAAAAAAAGAAGAAAACGAGAAATCTTTGCGTCCCAACACCCCTCTGTGATTATGAGGGACACCGTGTGGTAGTAATCTCTATAAATTTCACTATCTGCCATTTAAAATGATATAATGAATAAAAATTATGAAAATTGACGAAAACACGATAGTTCTGTTAGGAAGACACGCTTGTTCCGCTAGACAAAGTTCACATATTTCTGAGTATTTTGGTTGTACTTTTGGTAGATTGTCATAGCACGGCGGCAGCACGCGACCCTTGCCGTCACATTCTCCGAGGCGCACGCAGGGCGCACGTATTCAGACCCTTCTCTCCCCCTTTTCCACCTATCCTTTCATCTTACTCTTTCCTTACACAAAAGCAGCTGATGCTTTAGCCCAAAGCTGGGAGCATCACTCGCTGTTAGTGACAATTCTAGTGGGGTCATTACACGCAAAACATACAAGCTATTGTGGTGACCACCTGCAATCGATTCGAAGAAATATCCTGTTGACTTACTGCATTGAAAGCAGTGAATCCGTAAAATATTTCAGGAAGAAAAAATTGGGGTCACGTGAGTGCTTTCCAAATTTATTCAAATGCCGTATGGCTGTTGTTCGTGAAAAAAAATTATCTTTTTAAAGTGTCACTTCCTCTTTCAATACCAAATTAAATGTATATAATAGGTAATGGTGATTGTGCATGGTGTTTTATGCTAATCATTATGAGTGCAATTTTTTGGCCACATACACTACAAGAATTTAGCCGAAAGTCGATTATGTTTGCAGTTTTTCTATTGCATTACTGCTGTTTTAATGAATATCTGGGCAATTATTATTTGCTCCATAAAGGAATGTTTTGCAAAAACTAACTACTTTCGCACCCCTCAACGGAACACTTTAGAAAAAAAAACACAATTTTTTCAATATCATCAAATTCGTCAACTATCAGGCCAATTTTCACCACGTGGTGGTCTAATTAAAGATAACATTTATATCCAACTGGAAAGCAATTAGGCAGTTCTTTTGATATCCCTAGTTTTATCATAACAATTTTTGCTTCATGGAAGAAAACAATTTTTGATGTTTCCAACTGGCGACTATCTTCCCTTTTCGTTATATGGCAGCTTCCCTCTTGTTCCCCCTGGTCAAGACAGACAGAGGGTTTCCTCTCTACCTGAGTATAAATCGATGATATACCTCGCACGCGGGTGATGTTATCGCATGCGCCCTTCGTGCTACTGAAATGGGTCAGCTTGCTTTCCCTTTGCTTCCGCCATGTTTGTAGAGCTCGCTCGCGTTCATTTGTGTTGGATGTGTTGAATGTCACAAAGTGCTTCATGCGCAACCCCATCCAAATTCTAGTGAAGAAAGAAGAGCTTACCCTGGAGGGTATCAAGCAGTTCTACGTAACTGTAGATCGTGAGGAGTGGAAGCTGGACACGCTGTGTGACCTGTACGAGACCCTGACCATCACCCAGGCACTGATCTTCTGCAACACCAGGCGGAAAGTAGACTGGCTCACAGAGAAGATGCACGAGCGCGATTTCACTGTCTGTGCACTGCACGGAGACATGGGCCAAAAGGAACGGGACGTAATCATGCGCGAGTTTCGGTCAGGCTCGAGTCGGGTGTTGATCACAACTGACCTGCTTGTCCGAGGCATAAATGTTCAACAAGTGTCTTTGGTCATCAACTTTCACCTGCCCACCAGCAGGGAAAACTACATCCACAGAATTGACCGAGGAGGACGATTTGGTCGTAAGGGTGTTGCCATCAACTTTGCTACTGAGAAAGACAAGCGTACCCTGAAAGACATAGAGGGCTTTTACAACACAGAGATCGAGGAAATGCCCATGTACGTGGCGGACTTCATCTAATGGAGTCCTCCAAATGACAGCAGTGGGGGATAGCAGAAAGTGAAAGGGCAGAGTGGGGGGGGGGGATATCTGATCATCCACCAGCAGCTGACGGGTTTGGCATCAAGTGAAGACTGAGAATTGGGGGAGGTGTGGCAAGTTCACGGAGTTGCAGCTGTGGCTAGCTGGCTTTCTCTGGCCACTGCCACAGTAGCAACAGCGAAATATTGGTTGCAACCACTGAGCTTGTGTAGGCGACTTGTATTTGGAGCTTAAAATTTAATGCAACGTTTTCCACATGTATTCTTATTGGCTTGTTTCACAAAGCTCCTTAATTTCCCTTGCATGACCAGTGTCCCACCATTGTTCGCTGCTGTTTGCATGCAGTGGCCAAGAGTGGGATCATAAGTCACCAGCTGTGATTTTTTTTATTGAAAATTTTTCACGTTGGATGGATTGTACTACCGGGGTTTGGCTACGACTGGAAGCCTGTCTATTCCCCTCTTCTACCTTGCCTCGTTCGTGGCCTGTGTTTCTTTCCTTTTCTTTTTTTACTTGCCACGTCAAGGCAAGTTTCCCTGAAAGTTGCCTCAGGTGACTCAACTAAAATTCTAATGGTGTTAATAATTTACCTGCGGCTAGAACACACGATTTCCGGGGGGGGGGCTGTTATTGATTTGGACTTTATATAGTGCGTGGTGGCGTTGCCGATATCGGGAACACGTCAAGAGTATTCACATCACAGTAAAACGATTAAAGTGGAACTATGAAAAAACGAATCTAAGTTACGCGCACCCAGGCTCACTGTCAGCACATTGTGCTCCCGAAAAAAGTGGCCTGGTAGTGGCATTTCAGCTAGAAATAAGCTAATCAGAGCAGCCAACTTCTAGACTTGTCCGTAAGGTCCACTGAAGAAGAAGGACATTGTCTTCGTACCTGCAATAATAGCACTGCGTTTGGTGGCATCCACGGCTATTTTCTCCTTCTTTCCAGGAACTGAGAGACATTCGTGAACTTTACGTCAATATTAGCCGTGCCTCTAACGGACAGTTCATACAGTGTATGATTTGGAACCGCGCGTGAAGTTCGATGAGCTGGAGGGAGTGTGTGGGGTCATATCGGCAACGCGGTCTGCTGCAATGTCTGCGCGTAGGCGGGCAAGTGCCTTCATGAAATTAACTATAGTAATGGGCTCGTCCGGGGCTGCTTGGCCGCACGACGCTTCGCAGCCCGATTAGCGTTCGACGAGTTAGCGGAAGCGGGTTCAACTGGCCGGAGCGGCAGGCATCGGTGTCTTGACAACACGTTCACTCGGCTGCTGCATGTTGTAAATGTGAAGCATCTCTTAGCGAACTTCGGCGACTTTGAGCGTATCTATCTATCTATCTATCTATCTATCTATCTATCTATCTATCTATCTATCTATCTATCTATCTATCTATCTATCTATCTATCTATCTATCTATCTATCTATCTATCTATCTATCTATCTATCTATCTATCTATCTATCTATCTATCTATCTATCTATCTATCTATCTATCTATCTATCTATCTGTCTGTCTGTCTATCTATCTAGTCTATCTATCTATCTATCTATCTATCTATCTATCTATCTATCTATCTATCTATCTATCTATCTATCTATCTATCTATCTATCTATCTATCTATCTATCTATCTATCTATCTATCTATCTATCTATCTATCTATCTATCTATCTGTCTATCTATCTATCTCGCTATCTATCTATCTATCTAGGCGCCTACGAATTTTAGCTCTCCTGGTCGTTTGAAAATTGGTATGAATGGCAAACTTGGTATGGCATAACATGACTGTATGACGAGCATATCTGACTAGTCATAGCATCAAAATCTGATATGTGTTATGAATGTCATGATTTACATTTCATGGTGTTGATGCGCTTACGGTGGTTTAGTTCGCATGACATGTTACAAAACTGGTATGGTATGACATGATTGCCTAGCAAACACAAGCGACAGACCCTAACATGAAAATCATGACAACCGTGTCATGTATTAACATGACTACACGCCACGCTCACGATTCGCTCTCGGTCGTTTCGCTTCCGTCACATATACCAAATTTTGTATTACGTTACGTGAATGGATGCGAAGGTATCTGATTGGTGCAAACATCATAATCATGAGATGCGTGTCATGAAACAACATGACTACATGCCACGCTCATGATGCGCTGGTGGCCGTTTCGCTAGCTTCACTTATACGAAATTTGGTATTATGGGACATGAATGGATTACGAAGGTACAAGACTGGTGCAAACATGATAAACATGAGATGCGTGTCATGGAACAACATGACTACATTTCACAGACAACACGCCAATACACTTCGACGTGACCTGGCGCGCGTGTGTGCCGGCGTTCGTTTCGTCGCATCACGCCGGCGTTGCCACGCCTTGCAGGTATCGATCCTGCTATACACTCGCAGGCCCGCGCCGGGCTGCGTCTTTGACGCATGCGCGTTTCAGCGCGTCCGGCGTCCCTCCGTCTCCAAAAGAGACAGACGCAGTGTTACCTTGGTAACGCATTAGCGCCAAATGCAGCGTGTCGCATTTCGCGCCGTTTGCCGTCGAGCCACGATGACAGACACTGGTCACGCCGGTCGCGCTTGTCGTCAGACTATAGAGTACTCATGTTTTGCTAACGTAGCGTCGTTGTTCCCAGCGTCCGCGCGCGTCAACGTTCCGCTGCAGTATATTAGGCCCTTCATGACGCACTCTAAGCCATTTCGCAAGCTCCACATATACCAAGTTTGGTGTTACGTGACGTCAACGAATGACGAAGGTATATGACTGGAGCAAACATGATAATCATAAGACGCATGTCATGTAAGACTATGACAACATATCACGCTCATAGTGTGCTCATGGCCGTTTTGCTAGCTCCATATATACTAAATTTGGCATCACGTCACGTCAACAGATGGCGAGAGTAAGCGATCCATCCAAACATGATAATCATGACACTGCTATGGTAATTACAGACTCCCTGTCTGTACGTACGTCACTGACAGTTTCATCTCAATCAGATGCCTTAAGGACATTCCTTACGCTGATTCCGCCACAGCTTAAGCTCTTAAAATTGTTATGAGTACAATGCGGGTTAGAGTTATTTGAAATGGCGGAATGATTAGCTCGAATGGCAATAAATGGCCCAATACTTTCTGTGCTTCCGTTGCTGTTAAGTATGACGGCGATAAGATATCGAAAATTTCCACTCAGGGCTGATGCCATAGAATCAGTAACACCATGCGCTAAATTTACACATTAGAAATATGAATGGAAATCCGGCTGGTGTCATACTACACAACTGAAGCCACGCTAACAAGACTGCAATGCCGTGTGCCCCCTTTGAATTTATATTCATACAGGGCTGGTCTAGGAATATCTCCCCTGTGCAGCTTTTGTACAGATCTGGAATCAATAGACCATAATTGTCATGTCTCCGTTACAATATATAAGAAAACGTCTACTTGTCATCCTATTTGATAACCTTGGGCTGTCTTTCACCACTGAGAATATACTCTCCTTTGGTGCATCGGTTCTGGGCTACAGCCACAAGAATGCCTTTAGTGCCGTTTGCAGTTATCTTCGTGAAAGAAATTGAATGCGCCTCTAATTTCCAATTTGCATATTTGTTATTATAATAATATTAGGCGAATTCTAAACATCAATTTTAAACGTGTTAAAAATTACTGAAATTTTAATTCGACATATATAATATTCTGTCTGATCGAAATGGCAAAAAAATATTGCACTCTTTTGGTATTTACGTGTGCTTATCATCCATCTGTTCGGATTAGGTATCATTCGAAAGGGCTTAAATTTCATATCCTCAATTCTTGGCCGATTCCCCTGAGTGGACAAGAGCCATAGTGGAGGCATCATAATCATCATCATCCTCTGTGTGGGGTGTTTTGTGCTAGTGCCCTTGCGAAGTCCGCGTCCGACAATGTGGTGGACAAGGTCAGCTTCTCAGGCGGCATATATTGCAGTTTTCATCGTTCGGGTGTTGTCGGACATCTCCCTGTCGGCTTCGTCCAAGTTTCGCGGATGGCCAACTATCCTGGAAGGTGCGAAAGTTTCATTTGCTGTCTTGTTTCTATGATAAAAAAATAGCACGAAGTGAACAACATAAGTGTAAATAGAGGTACTATATTGATAAATGCGCTCGGCAGTTGGCTATTTCGGGCTAAGCCACTATGTACATTATTCGGCGTTCCTTACGTTGTCTACAGTTTCCCTGTAATTACTAGCCCTAATAGTTTCCTTGGTAAAATATACCGTTCTCTAGAGTGAGATCTTTAGGGTATCCATCACACGAGTTGCTTTTAGGTACTTGTACAACATTTGGTGTTTGTTGCTTATGCATATTTTGTGGGGTATACATTTCAGGTTCTAGGTATGTTCAACCGACGGTGCAGTGTTCGTGCTATTTTTCAGGTTTCTTGGGATAAAATCCTGCGAAATTTTGATCTTTCAATGTGGTTTCGAAAAACATGCCTTCGCACGCATTATGCACCCAGATTAACGAAACATCTTCATGCAGGCGGAGGCCTTACGCCGACAAAAGCGAAGGCTAAAACACAAAGAAAGAGACTTCTCAGTTCACACAAGGGAGCCTTGTTTAGAAGCGGAATCAAAACATGTGCGAAGCATTTCACCTTATGTAGAGCACGTTTCGATATATCACGAAGGTAGCGCAAATACAATGACGGCAGTGATTTCACGTCAAAGGGCACGAAAACGTTATCTTGATCGAAGACTGTGTCACGGTTTTTGTCTTCTCACGTGAAATTGGTTTTTACCGGTGTGTTAGCAGAACTGGCTATAGATGTGAGCAACACGGCTCTGAAATGGGATGCAAATCTAGTCCACAGAAATATCGCCAGTCGACGTACCGGATGTAGTTCAACTTTTATGGTCCTATTTTCCAAATACGTACTTTATGTTCAAAAACGTTGTACAAGCCGATCCACGGCACAACTATGTGCTTATATATAGGTGACTGCTCCTAATTTCTCTATAGAAGCTATTGAAAG